CCTTTATAAATAGGGACAACGACGGCACGTTTGAAGGCTGTAGGGAAGATACCTGAACGGATAGAGAGATTGAAAAGAAATGCTATGGGGATGGCAAGGAGGTCGCTTGAGAGGCAAATAACTTTAGACGGGACCGAGGTAGCGGAGCGAGAGTAGGATGACATGGTGTTTTTGCAGATGGACGGCAAGCTAGAGGGATCAATGAATTTGAGCGAACAGTCGTGCGAGGTGGAGGGGGGAGGCATCCAAGCAGAGGTGGCCGCAGGGCGGCGAGCTGCAGTAGTTTCTCCGATAGAGGAAAAGTGTCGAGCGAAGTCATCCAAAATAGATGTGGGGTCACTCGGATCGGGATCAGGCATACTTTGAGATTTGCCCCGATCTCGTCCAGAAGCAGTATTGATGAGAGTCTCGTCGAGTGTCGTTTGAGTCTCTGAAAGCGTAGAATCCCAGCCGAGCTTTGTCTTCCAGGTTGATTGGAGGAGAACTTTGGCATTCATTGTCAACGGTGCTACGATTCCGAGTGGATCGAAGATAGATGCTAGGCTCCGGAGTAATCTCCTTTAGCATGGAGTGCCTGCGGTTAGTGTTTCGCATGCCTTGTCGACTGGGGCTGAGAGCCTGTCAGAGCCTTGATTCCATGGAATTCCCAGGAATTTCGCTTCAGTGTTGTTTGTTGTAATGATCGGGTCTGGGACCGGAGACTGTCCGCGAATTAAATCTCCGAGTTCCTGTGAGTTCGAGGACCAATCTTCAGCGGCATGTGTCCATCTTCGAACATCGCGAAAACTCTTAGAATCCGGTGTTTAGCTGCTTCTATAGTGTTTTCTCCGAAACAAACATCGTCCATGTAGAAGTACTTAATTAGTTCTTCGATGAGGACCGCGTCTCCCGGATGTCTCTTTCGGTAGTCTTCCAGATGTCGAATGAGACCTTGGCAATGGAGGTATGGGGAGCACACTAATCCGGAGTCGAGTCTTTTCGACCAGAATTCTCGAATCGGTGCATTCGGGTTCGAGCTTATTCCCAGGGGCCAGAAGAATCGCAGAAATGTT